CTACGGCCGTGCATGCTGGATTCTGTGGCCTCGGAGTAAACCGCTTTGTTTCTTCTGGACGTTGTTCTGGAGGCCACATCGTCTGCCTTCACATTGTTGCTGGTGCCTACTGCCTTTGGCGCAATCGCTGTGAGGCTGTTGCAGCAGGTCGTCGCCGTCGCGCTCTCTTCCCGATTTCGGAGCGACTATCTGTTTTGTCGGAGGAACTCTTCTTTCTGGGTGAGGAGGAATCCCTTCGACACTGGTCCTGCCCTTTTGTGTTCGTCTGCGAGAGACGTGTAAAGCTTGTTTTCAGGCCTGCCCGGTCTTGGTAGGTTAATCTTTCTTTAGTACTCGCACAAATACTTTCTAAATACTTTGTGAATACCTAACATATAAATCGTTATATTTCATTTGTGTGTTCTTCGTTTATTATGTATTGTACATATTATGTAAACATGTCCTTTTGTAACGATTCTTGTGTATCTGTGTATGTCGTGCTCCGTGTACATATGTAAACATATATTTTTGTAACAATTTTTGGTCTGTGGATGTTGTATTCCATCGCGATGTCCTGTCGGATTGCAACTGATGTTCACTGCTCGTGAGAATAAATTTCTCTAGACACGAACATTTCTAGCTTTTGAACTACGCGGCCTCATTAAGTGTCAGGCCCACGGGATGGCTTGATGCTCTTCCATAGAGTATACCAAGTACTACAAATCGTTGACAACTTTCTCTGCACACGCGACCTCATCAAGTGGGAGGCATATGGTACGGCGTTATGCTCTCCACTCTAAATTGTTAACATTTTTTTGTAAACACCACACGCTCTTCGTAGTCGGCTTTTGGACAGCTCATTGCTCAGCCGTAGTAGAGTACATCGTACTCTATATTGTCGAAGTTCGGACATTTCTTCGGAACGGAAAAACATTTCGAAATGGCTCACTGCTCTCCCATGGTAGGGTATATGTGTGTTTTCTCACTGCCCTTCCTGGTAAGGTATAAGGACAAAAAAAAAGGTTTTGAGGGGAAAACTGCTCGAACGGAAATTATGTTTGCAAAGCGAAGCTAGACTGCCGTCATCTTAGTCCAGGCACGGTAAGACGTTGGCACACAGTGAAGAAGAGAGACAAGATTACATTGAATGCGAAGCACTTCTTTGCGTACTGCAAGCACTTCAATATCCACTATCCCTCAAGAAGAAGGTATATAACAGCTGTATCTTGCCGGTACTTAGCCGCGAAGCAGAAACCTGGAAACTTACAAAGAGGGTTCAGCTTAAATTGAGGATGACGCAGCGAGCAATTGAAAGAAAAATGGTAGGGGTGTAACTTTATGACACAAGAAGAGAGCAGAGTGGATTGGGGAACAAACGGGGCTTAAGGATACCATAGTTGAAATCACGAAGAGGAAATGGACATGGGCCGGACATGTAGCGCATAGACAGGATAACCGCTCGTCTTTAAGGGTAACTAACTTGATTCCCAGAGAAGGCAAGCGGGTTAGGTGGATACAGAAGGTTAGGTGGGCAGATGAGATTAAGAAGTTTGCGGGTGTAAACTGGCAGCAGCAAGCACAGGACTGAGTTAACTGGCGGAGCATGGGAGAGGCTTTTGTCCTGCAGTGGACGTAGTCAAGATGATGATGGTGGTGATGATGATGATAATGATGGTGATGATGATGATGATGATAATGATGATGATATCGACGTATCCATCCATCTATCTAGCCGCCCACGTCTGGGTGCTCTCCTGATCACCCCCCTAACTTGGGTTACCAAAATTAGTATGGGAGGGTAAGATGGTCCGACGATTATGACACGCTCGTCATAACATGAATCATGTGGAAATGCCGTCGCGTACGTCGTCAAGCCTTTTCCGCCAGACGTGTGGCACATACCCGCGAGTGGGTATATGCCACAGGTTATTGACAGTTTGTCTACCCAGGGCGATGAGAACCGACATGGGCAGTTTTAACGCGTGCGTGTTAAGAAAGTTGGCATCGGTAGCGTTGACCCGACGAATGCAAAAAAATAAACCACAGGGTGCCATCAGAAATCGAAGCCGAGCATTCTGCGTGGCAGTCAAGCATTCTACCTCAGAGCTACGCCAGGTCTCGCAACTGTTGTTCGGATAGACCTATATAAAGTTCGTGAAACGTCAATTGTGATTCCAGTGCTGGCTATCCAAATCTATGAACATTACATACGTACTCCGAGGATAAAGCTGTCGCTTCGGGTTAACCTTAATTGTAGTTAGGTGGCATCCACTGAAGTTGATTTATGTAGCAGTGTCCAGGGCTACCAACCTCGCGAGCACCAGCGCTTCATGTCAGCTTACCGCTTTTGGTGTTGTTAATATCCATGTCACAGTTGGTATTGCTACGCAACTATAAAGAACTGTTATAGAAAGCATACGCGGCTGTTCAACGTATGTCTCTGCGTGCATTTGTACATATCTTGAGCGCCGCTTCGTAACGTTTCGCTCAATAGAAAGATTACAACACAGTCGGCTTCCATCCGCATACCTCGCATAACATCGATTCCCAAGGTACGTGTGATCTGCCGAATATAAAGAAACATGACGCATTTCCCGTCGCCTCTAGCGATTGACCGTAATCCCTTGAGTCATGGCAGGATCTAGGGCGTCACTTACGATGTCTTGCTCTACGTTGGCATGTTGGCTGCGGAGCAGGGCCTTCCAGGTTTGTAGAGTGTGTGAACCATACATAACAGCTCTTGCTTTGAGCACCGCACAAACACAGCATTGGTAATTTCCTGGGACTGGTACTGCTCTATATCACTGCGCAGCGCATCTTCTGTGTCACCTGCATCATTAGTAAGCATCACCGACCCCACTCGATTTAAGAATGCACTAATAAAGTCAGAATCGTGAACTGTACTAATCGGCGTAAGTGTTATTGACTGTTTAGTGGATTCTTTGTGGTTCTAGTTCAGTTGTTTTTTAATAAAATGTACTCCTTGCATGTAAATCTTCATCATTATATTTATTTTATTGTTAAATGTGTTTACACATTCCAGTAGTTATTATGTTGTTAATCTGTATTTCCGCCCCTCCCCTCTATAATGTACAAATGTACCCCAAGGTTTTAACAAATAAATAAATAAACTAGTTTTCCTAAGTAGCCACAAAGCCTTGGAAAACTTTAGTAGAGATCAATCTACTTGTACTCATTCCGGTTCATTACCTTCACCAGAAGGAATATCTTTTACCCAATATTTCGACCGACATTCACGTTTGCAAAACAAAGGTACTTAATGTCAGATTGCGCACCGCGCGAGAGGGCCGATGTTTTGAAGTAAACTCCAGAAAAATGCTGGTTTCACTCCTCCTGGCCTTGTGAAAGCGTCCACTCCGCAGTTTTTTTAAACATCTTTGGTACATATGTTGCACACTGAATCATTGGCCCGTTATCTAAACACAAAGGTAACGCGTATTTGCTAGCACAAACATTCGAGGTATGAATGGCTCGTGGGTCTTCCGTATAGGACGCGGAACACACTACTCTGAATCGTCAATGTCAACACAGTGTACTCCCTCTTTTCGACAATTCAGGGATAGCTATTCCACAACAGAGCTATGGCTGTTGGATACGTGTAGTGTTCTATATAAATCTGCATAACTTTTTCTAAACACCGTATATAATTAAACCTGCACCTGTAAATGATAGATTTGTTTCACATGCTTCGATTTCAATGCAAATTTCGTTTGGCTAACCTTTTTTTTTTTTGTCTTCCACACGACAACTGAGATACCTATGTCTTGAAGCAAGGTACCTATCCTGGTACCCCTAGGCGTTTTCAGTTGTTTCGGTTCAGTATAGCCGATGTGACGTAACGCAGTGCGCTACTATAAGGCATTTCTCCGCCACTGTGGATCAGTGGCTTATGTGCTAGGCTGCCGACCCGAAGGTCACGGGTTCGATTCCGACCCCAGCGGTCGCATTTCGGGGGAGACGGAACGGTAGAGGCCCGTGTACTTTGCGACGTCAGGGCAGGTTAAAGAACACCAGATGACCGAAATTACCAGAACCCTCCACTATGGCATCTCTCACAATCATATCGTGGTTTTAAAACTTCAAAACATCGCATATTAATAAAACTGTAAGGAACATCGCTCTTACGTCATCGACAAGAAACATCACGCTTACAGGGGTTGTGACACGTTTTCGGGAACTTTTCAACTACGCGTGTATCTAGAATCCTCGCCGTCAATTCAATACTAAACATCGACTTGTTTCGTCGCCCGGGCTCCTTTAATAGCTGTGAAAACACAATTTTGATACCCCGCTCACGTCAGTGAAATTCTCAATCAAATTGGAACCGTTCCCTTGTTTCTCGACAAGTGATGCCATCGATCCAAATGCCGTGCCATAATTTTAATGTCCATGGCAAGCGGCTAATTTGAGCATGTGAGCTTGGCCTCCGAGATGAGCCGGTGGCGCTACCGGCTAACCTCAGAGGCCACGTTTTGAGCCGCGTGGTGGCTGCTGTCGCCGCAGGATGCCGTTACGTGCTCGTGCGCGATTGCACTGAAAGTAAGCCGCGTGTTCGAAAAAACATAAATAACAGAAAAGGCTCAGGGTCATAACGCTGTGATGAATGGTCGTCGCTTCCCCCTTTTCGTCACCCTCTGTGAGGCCCTTGAGCATGCTCGTTGGTAAAGCCGTAACCACATGCACGCGTTACAATGCGTCTAAGCGTAGTGCATAGACGCGGTGCCCTCTCCCTGTGGAGAGAGTGTGCGCGCAGCTTGGCGTTGACACGCACTCTCTCCCTCTGGAAGGTGGACGACGCGGCGCCGCGTCTACACTCGACGCGCCGTCGCTTCGGAACGCGTACGTGGGGCTAGGGCTTCAGAAAGTCGAGAGAAAGCGCTTGAGATGTGCGGCGATTGTGTGCGTGTGCTCTCCGCACATCGACCAATGAGCGTTGGGTATGAGGTTTAGCAACCATGTTCTTTTTTTTCTTTCATGACCGACCTGATCTTCGACAACAGCCCGAAACTTTGACATCCAGCAAGCTAAGGAGATGATGAAAAAGGCGAGTACTCTATTGCTAACCGCAACAGCATGACGTTCAGTGTTGTAGGCTCTGCTGGCGAGGAAAACGCCTTGATTGAATGATACGACTTGAGAGCTTGAGTTTTTTTTTTTTTTTTGCAGTCCATCGCATGGAGGAAAGCCCACAACATCGATGATTTGACAAAGGACGACTATAAGCCACCAGAGGTGAGCCAGTTCAATCTGTAGCTTTACCGACGCGTCAGAGGTCCTGAAATATAACAATATAACAAGCATTGTAACGTTATAAATAGACAGAAACAAGAAACATGGTTCACAGATCATGTGTCATATTCTTTATCGTTTCTCTTCAGTAAATTTTGTTTATATTATTTGTGCCAACTGTACCGATTCATGTAGTGTACCTATTGTAATGATTGCTGTGTTACATCACTGGAGATATTCTACTGATGCATTATAGGGCGTGTGGGCAAACTAACCCAAGCCGAGTAGTAGTAGTAGTAGTACAAAACTTTCATATAGACGTAAACCATACCGACTAAAATACAAGGGGTTAGAGCCTTGTCATTCAGCTCAAAACCAGCTTCTCTTAGTTTTTATGGCCTGATTTGCTCGTTAAATAGGCATATCTTCAATTCTATTCTGAAACCTTGTAGACTTCTTGATAATTGGGATGAGACTCACAGAAGACAATGTTGACGTTACAACAGCGCACGACCAGTATTTATCATCATTTAGGTGAAGCAAACAATTATCAAACACAACATATCAAGAATCTCCTCCACGACCTGAAATTAGTCTGCGTGGCAGCCGAAATCGCGCATAAATTAGCGAACACTGACCGGCATTCGTGATAGTCGGTACCTGTATAGTAGCTGAAGTGAAGCAGCTGCTCTGCTTTCGAGAACGGCCCGTATTTGGAGTCATAAGTGATACGTGAAGCCCGTTAACTGGTTGCGCGGTGTGGGAAAAAAATCTAAAATTAATCAGCCCAGACTCAATCAGCCATTTTAGTTCGATGGTGACTTCCGCCGCAGATAAACTTGCGACCACACTTGCTGAGCTTCTCCGGTCGCAAGGTATCACTAATAACTGAGTGCACAAAATAGGTCAATTCGGTTACAAGCGGGCGACTTACCTGGAAAAGATACGCGTGCACGTACAAAACAGCGCATTTCCCAATAGTACGACGATAGCGAAACCCGTAGCCCATGCTCCTGGAAAGTACTACGCTAATATTTCTCACATGGGAATATCGCTGCCGGTCCCAATGTGGGCTTATTAGTAGCGTACTCGGCCGACCAGTCGGAAAGTGCGCTTACGAAAGAGAAGTTTTGTGACTTCGGCCGCGAATGACCTCACGAGAAGCCCACTTCTATGTTGGGGCAGTCCTGATTATACTAGTTTTCGAATAGTTTCGCAAACATAACAAAAATTATTTGAGTCTTCTTGAGTACGTGAGGGGATTTCTCAGGAAAACAAGAACAATAATAGTGTTGGCTTCTCGAGCAGCGACGTCTACAATATAGCAATAAACGAGCTGGGTACTGTGCATGCATTTTCGTACTTTACGTACAACCAAAAATATGATGACCTTTTCAATTTACCTTAGCCTCTATGTCATCTTCCTTGATTCTTGCCTTGCACAGTTCGTGCACAGAACTTTGATCGGAGGCATGTACGGCGTCCACAAACACGGTGGTCCTGTCTGGATCTACCCCTTCGGCAACTTCCAGATCAAACGTGAGTGCTCGGCGCATTTCTCTTTCCCATGCGAAGCATGTTCATTAGCGAGCTTTATCCGGTGGCATCCGCGCTCCACTGCGCATGCGCGTCCCCTCCCCTCTCTCTCTTTTTCTCGTATAATCCCCCGCTCTCTCGCCTCGCAACGCCGACGTGGCCACCATCTGCTAGCGAGTTTTTTTTTATTGAAAAAACTGACTGCTCGCACTGCACAAGCGTTCACTGATTACCCCGCATATATAGCCACAGGATTTTGACCTCCAAGGTAGTACTGGTGGAAGATTTCTCCTGTGCGTAGTTGAACAATAAAGATTCGCAGCGTGCGCGTTATCTAAAAGCGGACTGCGGCCTCTGTGTCTCACTACAGTCTTCTTTCTCTCATCGCCAATTAGCAGCGATTGGCATGCATGTTTCAGTGGGAAACGCTGGTCCATCACTGCGTGCTTTGCGACTCCACAGGTTTCTCTCCTGCGCAACGTTGCGATGATTGCCAGCGTCAACGACGCCGTCAGTGGTAGTGTTAGCGCCCGTTGCTTCGCATCTACACGTTGTTTCCTTTACCGGGCGATGGTGCAATTTCTTTGACAATGGAGCTCTTTAAACTGAGAGTGAGTCGTTGCCTCGGAGCGTACAGAAAACTATCATCATCGTGAAGTGGTATGCGCTCCCTTTATTCTCTTCCTTTTAGAGGCGAAGCTTCTTATGACGTGGCTTGTGCGTCCCCCGTTGTCGTAGTGTGCATACCAGTGGCACATACCCGCCCTCGGGCACATATCAGCATGTGCACATGTTACGAAAAACGTAGCACGGCGTCATTATCACGCTCTTGGTGTTAACAAAGCGCTTACAACATAAATGTGGTACATACTCTCGTTTAGTCCTTGGATTGTCCGCTGGATGGCGGTATATGAATAATATATTATAAAAAGAAGCGAGATGGCGGCACTTGAAGTGTTCACTAGATGGACGAATGGACGCACGAATGTACAGACAGGCAAGCAGATGGACAGACAGACAGACACAAGGACGGACGCGCGGATGCACGCAAGACGAACGCACGGATGCACGCATGAATAGACGCACGAACCGACGCACGTAAGTATCGACTGATGCGTGGACGCGCGGACGAACGCATGAACATCCGCACGAACGCACAGACCCACGGCCGGAAGTACGGACGAATTGATGAACGCTTTATCGCGCTCATCATCATTCATTCTGTGGATATGCTGTGATTTTATTAACTTCATCTTTGCTCGCAGAACACGCGTGTTGATGTGTCTGAAGTCGGATGCAGGAACTATAATTGGCAAGAAGACGAGTACAGAAGGAGTATCTATACATGGTCCTTTTTGACGGGAAATAGTGTAATTTTCCTTTCTTTCTTTTTGTCCCCAAAGCACAGTCATTCCTTTCTTTTATTTATGCACGACGACGATGCAGAGGAATAAACTCCCAGAGTCCCCTATCGCTTACGCCTAAGATGACCCGAAGACAAAAACCTTCTTATTCGACATATTAATTTTCCTTCCCCCCTTGACGCTCTCTGTGCCTGTAGCGTGGTTCTGCACGGCCTCCGGGATAGTAGACAACTCACCTGCAGGTTTTGCATAGCCTCCGTGATCGACCTCTCCTTTACAAAGCGACAATTTAGCGTGCTGACGTCATCATGTGACGTCAAGTAATGTGACGTCATGATGATTTCATAAATTTTGCCTGTCGCTGAAGTCCTCCTGTAGTTTTTTAGCGCACGAAAAAACACAGACAGAGAAAGACGTGATACACTCAAGCGTGAACTTGCAATAACGTGTGCGCTAAAAATGTTCAGTATGACACATCAACATGACCGAAACGCTACGTTACTAAGCTGAAGTCTTGATGATGTCATATGGTGTCGTATTCACGTGATGGTTTTTTAATGACTCGCGTTGACGCCGCTAACATTCCATTTTCCTTTTGGTTGATCAGGTAAAGTATATTGCCTCAGTCAGTGTGCCATAAAATCAGCAGCATGGACTAGGAATACGTGGTAGAAAATGCTAAGAAAAGCACATAATATATTTAGTTACGCCTACTAAACTAGGAAGCGGTGATGTGATCGGTAATGAAAGGACGGGCTGACATTTTCAACTTCCGCACTCTATAGCAGCGACGTCCACGCGTAGTGAGGTCAGCACCGACTATCCGGAAGCCTGGCGCATCCTAATAATTTAAGGCGCATGGAAAGCTCGTATAAGCTGCTAAATAAGGAATTCCTTCGCCTTTCGACTGCAGTCTAACTGAGGTAACGCCAAAAATCGACCAGATCGTGGTGACTCTATCACACCACAAGTACCCTGTGCAGCTCTGTGAAGGTTGTACCACCGCCAGTGCCTTCCTTTCCGGAATTTCTTTTTGCCACACCAATTCCACTCTCATAAGGTACCTACCTCTATGATAACAGTACGACCAAGTGTGGCGTACATTGGGGTAGCGTCGACACGTGTGCTTTGTTTTCGCGTGTTCTTTCGCTTACCAGGCGTTTCCACGTGGTACGCTTTCGGCAGTGTGAAATTGTAATTAACCAATACAACAAAAAATTAACTCTCTTTAGTTCCTCTATAAGGTGACTTACTACGTCTTTTCCCGTGTGCTTGGGACAGCCTTCTTAGGGGCGTTCGCGCACAGCGCAAACGGTGACCTAACAGTGCTGCCTCTCTATGAGCTAATTCACACTACAGCATCACCGAACTACCTCTACACTTATTTGCGAACTGTTGAAAAGCTGATTCGTAGCCCGTGTACCATGTTGTTTAAATTAATCGCACGAAAAAAGTCACACTTTCTCCGCAAGGGTAAAACAATGAATGCGATAGCAATAAAGTAGAAATAACTCTGAGAACGGCTAGCAGATCGGAACGTGAAACGCGCTGCTCATGCACAAATGACGCACGGAAACAACACACACAGAACGAGAGCTAACTAACAACGTTTACAACTAGACGCTTCATCATCATCATCAGCCTGACTACGTCCACTGCAGGACAAAGGCCTCTCCCATGTTCCGCCAGTTAACCCGGTCCTGTGCTTGCTGCTGCCAATTTATACCCGCAAACTTCTTATTCTCATCTGCCCACCTAATCTTCTGTCTCCCCCTAACCCGCTTCCCTTCTCTGGGAATCCAGTCAGTTACCTTTAATGACCAGCGGTTATCCTGTCTCCGCGCTACATGCCCTGCCCATGTCCATTTCTTCTTCTTGATTTCAGCTATGATATCCTTAACCCCCGTTTGTTCCCTAATCCACTAGACGCTTAATGCGCTGTTTAAACAAAAACGACGCACAAAACGTAATCACAGGCACAGATATGAGCGTGAACTAACGAGTGTCCCAGTTGCTACTTCGCTGTGTTTGAAAAGCGCGCTCTTTTCGCAAACGGGGCCTGACCAGCGAGCGAAGTTGGCCTTTGTGGCACAGGCAACTAATGCAATCATTCCGGTGAAAGGCCAAGGTACACGATTGTCCCCGCCGAAGGACAAGCGCAAGTGCACAAGCACATACCGCCCCCCCCCCCACCCCACCCCCGTGCGTGGGGCAGAGTACGCGTGAAAAATAAGCGTGCGTTGGCGCATCGCGATGAGCTGGGTGCCGAGTGCGGGCTGCTTTTATTGTGATAGCAATTATATGGACACTCTCTGCTGGATTTTGGATTTTGCCGCTGGCATCGGTGTGGGCGTTGCTGCCACTCATCGTCTATATATATATATATATATATATATATATATATATATATATATATATATATATATATATATATATATATAGCGTAATCGAACGTCGACCCTCTGAGCCGCGACCACTGAGCCACCGTGGAGCAGGTTTTTTGACGCTCAAACGGCAAGCTATTTACATTTTGCATCTACCACTTACCGCTGGTGATGTGCATCTCGGGGGTAAGGGGGAAGCACTATCGTGTTTTCAGCATTACCAGCAAGATGGCGCAGTGAGCGCTCGGCGGTGCGCGTTCTCATCTGCCACGCGTACTTTGCCCTTCAGAGTGTAGAACTTGGAGGCACTCTGAGAGAGGCGGCTGGAGTGAGACGCTGTGCGTACGTGTTTCACATGAGCTCCGGCCCGGTGACCGACTATCGGCGGACGCGCTTTTTTCTGGACTTGCTGTCAGTGGGCTCGTCTGCAGGAGGTTGCCCTTTACCTACGGACACCACTCGTTTAGGCAAGTTTGTCCCCGTTTTTGGAGTTTCCGAGATTTTCCTATCAACCCCGCGGTGGCAAGGCTAGGCCTATCTCCTAGGCCAAGCCTGGCCTGGGCCGCGTCGCCCGGCGTCTGACTTACGCCCGGTGACCGTGGGTCTTGTTGGTCTGAAGATGGAGTACTACGTCGAAGGGGAGACTATAACACCGAAGATTTTGAAGCGGGAGAGTAGGCTCCAGTGCTGAAGGCACAGGACTGATTTAAGAAGACTCGGCATGGCGACAACGCCAAGAGTAAGCCTTGCGAGACGCAGGCCGGCAGCGACGGGCGCAAGACGCACGGAGCGCAGCAAGTCAAGCGGGGGAAAGCGCCGGTATGGAAGAAACGCGGACCGTTTCTCAAGTTGCCAGCCACGGATTTCAAGATTGTGTACAGGCCCCAGAACTGGGACTTGAGTGTTGTGACAGCGAGAGAACTCGGATGTGCACTGAGAGCAGCAGCGCGTCTAACGAGTGCGATTGCCGCGGAAGAAGACATTGTGCGGTAAATGGCACAAACACGTTGACGGTGAGCACACCGTGCATAAATCGCAGTGGGGCATATGCGACTGTGAAGACGCTCAAGCTGGTGATCGTGACCTGCCGGTTTCGGCGTTCGTGGCGCCGTTGGAGAACTCCGTGCGGGGAGTGATTTATAATGCTTATGATGGATGCGCAGTGGAAGAAGTTCGGGCGGGATTCCTGAAGAAGAATGAAGGCATAGACATTCTGGACGCGAGACCTCTGGGAAAGTCAAAGGCAATTCAGATT